CGGAAATGTGGAATTCGTGCAAACGCGCTCAAATGGCAAAACTCCATGAACAAAAAAGATTCCAAATGAGAAAATATGAACAATGGAAGAAACGGCGTTAAAAACTGAGTCCCGAGCAGAGAGTTATGCCTAAAACAAGTTTGGCGCAAACTGGGGCCAGAAACCCTGAAATTGGAAAACATCGTCTAGGAGGAAATTATAAGAGTCCACGAATCGATGAAACGTGAAAATGAATCCCATACGAGAATCCAAGTTCAAAACAAGGCATTGAGCAATAACTTTCATTAATTGCACAATGACCCCTCCAAAAAGTGAAAACTGCGAAACTGCCACAGAATGAAAATATCTTCCAAAAGATATTTTCTTAGATACCCCTGACATAAAATATCTTCAAAAGATATTTATGAAAAACACCCCAAGAAAAGAAAAGGTTTCCAAAGAACTTTGCATTTATGCCCCTTTGGACACCAGGAGCAACCAGAGTACTTTCTCACGAAAGTAAAGATACGTATCTCATAGAAATAATTGGGAATGAAGATACGTGAAGTCAGAAACTAACTCCGAACATAAGAAGTGTGGTTACGCAAACAGAGTGACAAATGAGGAAAAGACGGAATAGGGAAAAAGACAAAAAATGAATAGTGTCAAAAAATAAAAAATGTGGGAATGACTCGGTCCTCAAAGGAAGATGTCAATTGAAAGAAAAGAGTCTCAGAATTCACTCCAGAGCACTCGAGACGACACTAATCGACAAGAACCAAACTCAGAAGGGAAAAGACAACGGAAAAAATTTTATCCGAAAAAATCCGGGTCATTACAGGGTTAATGCTCGGAATAACCAATTTGTTCTTGGTTTAGTCCGAGACGTGATGTCCAAGTCTTCCACTAATTGTTTTCACGTGCAATTCCAGGTTAACAATCATGTTTATATTGTGACTTATGGTTTTGGTTATTGGCGATTTTGATGTTGTTAAGTACATCTATGTTTATGATTTTAATGAATCATTTTAATGTTGTTAAGTACATTCATGTTTATGATTTTTAATAAATCACTGTGAGCTTTTAAATGTTGTTAAGTACATTCTTGTTTTATGATTTTTAATGAATCATTATAAGCTTTTGATGTTGGTAAGTACATCCATGCTATATTGTTCAAATGTAATTTAGGAATGATCCTATAGATTCATTTGGAACATAGACGTTAGGTGATATGATCACTTTTATCGTTTTCGTATTTTAGATTTCAAATTAATGACTTGAGAATCTATATTTTGTTGCTTTGAATAGCATGCTCCTATGTTGTTTGAATTGCATGAATGATATGATTTATGCTATAAATGATCTTAGGTAGTTTAGAATGCTCCCTGAGTCTCACATTGACATAGACGTTAGGTGGAATGAACTACAATAATTAAATCATGCAAACTTGTAAAACGTAGGTCGATGCATGCTCATTTCCTACGAGTAGCTTTATGTTACTCACCCCTATGATACTGGGGCATATTTCAGGTACAGGATACAAGATTGGAGATTACAATTGCTTGGGTGATTTGCTGAGTTGAGCTTCTTTAGAAGCATTCTTGTTCACATACAAGTGTTAGCATGTTCATGATTTGTCTATGAAATGTAATTTTTCTAACTTGGAGGTTTGACATGTCAAATGTTGTAAATGTATTGTAATGAGGCCATAGGCTATTGTAGCACATCTATTTTATCATATTATATACACTTGCATGCTTACTTTGGCAAATAATACATTCCTTGATGAAACAAAAACTCTAAGTAGCATTTTTAGGGAGTTTTACCCTATTCTATTCTAGGGGCATTTTGGGTATTTCACAATGCATTTTTTTTATTTTTCTTCATGAATCACATAGAAAACTCAATTTTGAGGGGGGTTTTTTCTTTGTGTTTTTCCAGAAAATATCATCTTAGCCCTCAAAAATCAATATTTTTCCAAAAAATCCTTGCTGCCAGGTTTTGCAAATTTTTAGTACAAATGTAGTTGGTACTATTCATCGACTTTTTTTTGAAAATCTTCACGACCGATCTGAAACTTCCGGGGGTCTTGTGAGTGTATTTTAAGATTGAATTTTCAATTTAGGCAATTTAAAAACCTCTCGAAGCCCTATTTCCAAAACTTGGGCAGTAACTCAGATTAGTTTTTTTCCTCTTGACCTGATTTTCTTGGGGGTATTCTGGACATTTTACAATGCATTTTTTTTGTTTCTGTCCTTTAAAGGGGTATAAAACTTGATTTTTGGGGGGGTTTCTTCTTTGAGTTTTTCCAAAAAAGTCCGTTTAGATGCCCGTTTTTACTCTCAGTTGCAGCAGTGGTTGGTTGTCCTCGTCGGGCCTCCACGACATCATTTTTTGTTTTTGATCTTTCTCCTTCGTCCGGACTCTGAATGATGAAATTCTTAAGTCCATTATGATTAAATTTTTATTGTATTTCTAGCGGTATGCTCGATAGCACTTGAATCCATTTTTTACAAAATGACCATTTTGCCCCTAGGTTCTTTTTGTCCGTTTTTGAAATGACACTTCTGAATTTGTTTCCTTTGGATTTCGTGACCTCATTGAGGGTCACATTGGTGTCTTAGAGATGTATTGTATCTCTAGAGACCGTTGTTTCACCTTTCGCTTCTGCATTTCGGATCCATTATCGGGTCATCTTTTGGTCATCACTGACGCATCGGGTTTACAAAACTTGGGCCGTCACATCATTCTTCGATCAATCAAACTACCTTGTCCTTGTCCAAATGATTGATCTTATCTAGTTGTACCACCCTACCAACCACTTTTGTCCTTTTTCCAAAAATATCTTCAAAATATCTCAGATTTGTTTTTATCCAAAAAACACCGCCATTGAGGATCGATCCAACTTCAGTTCGATAAATCTCAGCCATGTTCGATCGATCTAAGTCCAAGGTTCGATCGATCTAAGTCCAAGGTTCGATCGATCGAACTTCCTCCAGTGCAAAAAAGTTAAATTTTCAGCTCACAAAAAGTTGTCCTTTATCCAATCATTGGGGAATATTTATTGTACGACCCCAGCTTATTTTGGGTGTCATTTGACCTACCTATATAAGGATAAGGATTACTTTTTACATCATTTCACATCATATCATATCATACCTTGTAGAACTCTTGGAGAGGAAGCTTAGAGGAGGAGGAGGCTAGAGACACCATTGGAGACTTTTCATCAATCAAAGAGCAAATCTCTACCATGGAGTTAGCCTTTGAGGGTTGGAGAAGCACTACCATGAGTGGCTAGACATCCTCTTGGGGCTAGAGTTAGCCCCAAGCATGCTTTCTACATCTTTATTTTGTGTATTATTGAGGGATTAGTGTTGTAATACATGTTTTGACACTTTTATATATATAGATCTTGTTTATTCAATGATTTATGTGGTTTAATGCTTTCAATTGATCATTTCATTCTATCCATATGTCTATGTATGATAGAATAGATGTTTATGTGTTTGTCTTTATTTCTTGTGTTATTGATGCATGTCTATGTGTATTAATGCCATAGATCTAGAGATTGTCAAAACATTGTGCTTAATGGAATGCTCTTGTAATTTTCTTGATGGTTCATGCTTATTTTTTGATGGATTGTGCCTCTCCCTTAGCTTAATTAGTTTAATTTCATGTCATTAGCTTAATTGTAGTGTAGTGGTAGCATAGTTGTTAGATGGGAGGACAATCCATGCTTGTTGTTTGATGTTCCATACTTTTGAATGCAAGTAGCATATGTCTCTAACCTTGTGGTGTATTTGGCTTGTGAACTTAATGAAATGATTAATGACTTGCTAGAATATAGTGCTTTTCACATGCTATTTAAACAATATATACTTAATTGTTAGATATATTGTGCTTTTCACATGTTGATTAGACAATATATACTTAATTGGTCACCCTTACTAATTGAATCAACCAAACACACACACACATCAATATTACAACACACATTTCCCTCATTAGTCACTTGTTAAGGGTGTAGAAGAGTATTGCTTAGTGATGACCTCTAAACCCCAAAATCTCTTTCTTACTTACTCTTTATTGCATTCAATTATTTAGTTTAATTTGCTCTCTAGTTTAATCAACCAACCAACTGTTTGTTTGATCACTCGACCTACTAACCCTAATTGTAATTCCACAACCAAATTCGACTCCAATCCCTTGGAACGATCCCTACTCACCCTAACTATATTTTTAGTGAAGATAGTAGTGGCTTCTATAAATATAAAACTTGGCCCTCGCCTTAATGCACACTCTCTAAGCTTGTGGTGTAGTAGCAATGAGCCACTACCACTTTTAATGTAGAAAGATATTTTAAAAGAGTTTCTATAAAAATCTAACACAAATTACCTAATTATTATGAGTTTTTTTATTTTCTTAATTAAAATTATTTTTATATAATAAATAATAATGCAAAATTTTTGTTTTATATATAATGCAAAATTTTTCTTTTATATATAATTTTTTTTTTTTTTTTTATCATTTTTTATTTTTACTTTACAGTTATACACATACTTTCGCTCATGCGCATGCACGTAGATTTTACTAGTATATTTTTATCTATGTATCTAATTTAATATTTTAGTATTTATTTATTAATATAAAAAAATACTTATTAATTGATAAAAGAGTTTTTATAACACTTTAACATAAATTACCTATTTATTATGAGTTTATATTTATTTTTAATTAATATAAAGTGTTTGGAAGAGTTTCTATAAAACTCAAATTACCTATTATTATTTATTATGAGTTTTTTTTAATAAAATGATATCTAATTAGATAAGGAAATATATAAAGAAAATAAATATCAAATGCAATTTGAAAATCAAGTTACTAAATGTGAAATAAAATTACATAATTAACCTTAACTGAACAAGACTATGTCGTTAATTCAATTTTTTGAATTTCAATATATAATTTGTCCAAAGTAAGGAGGCAGTAATAAATGGCCCTGAACAGATCTGTAACTCTTTGATGTGGGTTTCTTCCATTCACTTTGATCTTCAGTCCAACTCGTCAACAGCGTTTCTCTCTCTCTGTAATATAGTTAATACAGACTCTCTCTCTGCACAATTTGGCATCTCTCTTCCTATCATCATTTTCTCTCTCTAGACTGCACAATTTGGTCTCTCTTTTTCCCATTCTCACTCTCTCTCTAGACGAGATGGGCAAAGTGTCTGTAATTGCTTACATCACAGTAGCTGTGCTCCTCCTTTTTCTCATCTCTCATTCTCCCAAGAAACCCCCTAATCAACGCCACCGCCGCATCAAGCTCCGCTCAAGCTTCTCCTACTACGGCGGTGGGGACGAACGCCACCACCACGAACCGGTGGCATTCGACCCTCTGGTGGCGGAGATCGAGCGGCGGCGAGAGGACAAGCAGTGGGAGAAGATGTACATTGAGCACGCGCACAAGGATTTAGTTGAAGAAGCTCCCGGGGCTGAGTCGCAGCCGGAATGGGAGGAATTCATGGACGCGGAGGATTACTTGAACGACGAGGATAAGTTCAATGTGACCAACAGGTTGGTGTTGCTGTTCCCCAAGCTTGACGTTGGCCCACCGGATGGGTACGTGACCGAGCACGAGCTCACCCAGTGGAATCTGAAGCAGTCGGAGAAGGTGGTCATGCATCGAACTCAGAGGGATATGGAGCTTCACGACAAGAACCGTGATGGGTTTGTCTCCTTCGCCGAGTATGTTCCCCCTAGTTGGGTTCGCAACTCAGGTGATGTATTTTTTATGTTTCATTCCTAAACTTTTTACTCACTGTTGAAGGATTTGTATGTTATAGGTAAAGGGTTGATAAAAACTTGTTTAAAGGTTGATGATTTTGATGAATTGTTGTTCATTTGCCATTTTTTAGTTTTATCTATATATTTTTGTGGACTCAATAGATGATTGAGAGCCCAGTACTATCTAATTTTTTTTCTTCAAAGCTTTGATTGTTTGTTTGATTTTGAACTGTTTGCCTAATTTAAGACTCTCCAGTCTTGATTATTTGAAAAACCAATTCACAAATATGTATACATATACATATATATTTTGTTAAGATTTCATTATTTACAGAAAAAAATAACTAAGATTTCATTAAAATTTGATGACTTTTAATGAATTCTTAAAAAAAGAAAGAAGAAAGATTTCATTAAAACATTTGAGGAGAGCTGCGGGCGACAGTATAATTTCAAGCTATCTATAATCAATGCATAAATGTTAACAAAATTCTTATTTTGTAACCTAAAATGAAATATGAGTGAGATTGGATGAAAAAAATGATATAAAGAATTTTACTTTTGACTCTTTTTTTTTTTTCAAAGTAAAGAATTTTTCTTCGAGGTCAAGAAATATGTTGAAAAATGACAGAAGACTAATATTATTAATCTTTTTTTTGGCTAATTAATGTATCATAAAAGCACACTCAACTGGGGAGTTCATCCCAAATACAAAACCACATGTGCCAAATACGTCCCCTAGACTCTCAACTATGATCCTCTCTTCTTGTATTTGTCTTGGAGAAAGATTGAGAGGGTAAAAGACAGGTAACGATGAATAAATGGGAGGATATGAATGCGAGTTCTGGGAAAGTTACGTGCAAAGAGTGTTTATGAAAAAAAAAAAAAAAAAAAAAAAAAAACCAGTTAAAAGAAGGTTTTTTCAATAATTTTAAATAATTTTTAAAAACTATATATACAAAAGTTGAGTGGGGGCGTTGAATCTTGTTATTTCTTACTTATTTGTGGTTAGGATTAGTTGCATCATTCTAGGTCTAGAAAGTTTTATTGTGGTTGGTATTGTGACCCAACTTATTCTAGATTGAAGTTCTTGCTTAGATTTTATATTGACATATGTGTCTGCATATGATGTAAATGGCAATACCTTGTTTCCCTATGGCCTTGTCCTGGTAACTGATATGTGTTTCTTCTACCAGATAATACTTCATTTGGGTATGATATGGGTTGGTGGAAACAGGAGCATTTCAATGCATCAGATGCAGATGGAGATGGCCTTCTGAATATTACAGAGTTCAATGAGTAAGCTTCCAGCCTTCCACTGTTTGGGAACTTTTACTCGGCAAAAAAAAAAAGGATCTCTATTTATTTTTTTTTTCTTCTTTCTGAACTCTATCTGTTTTCTTTGGTTCCTTTCAAGTGCAGTTAATCTTTGTCTATTAATATATTCTCTTCATTGTTTCTAGCTTTCTGCACCCAGCTGACAGCAAGAACCCAAAACTACTCCAATGGTTGTGCAAAGAGGAAATAAGGTACCATAGTTTCCGTCAAGTTCCTATTTTTATCTTTTCTCTTTAAATAAAAATTTATGCATTCTATTCTCATATGATTTTGTTGTTTTTGTCCTTGTAAACCTAATATTTATTTCCTAATCTGATTCCATTTTTCTTTTTCCTTTTTGGTGCATTCATTTATTTAGGGCTATGATTTCTTCCCTTTAGTAGCAATATATTCTTCTTGCTTACTGTCAATAAATTGTGTTCTTGTGAAAAACTGATGGTATGATTACGTCTGTTTGAACAAAGACATCATTATGAAATTTTGTGTGCATTCATGTCTATGTCATAACAATTAATTTTTTTGTGCTAAGTTTTTTATGCATATCATGCTGGGTCATATGTCATCTCAAATCTTATTTCCTGGTCGAACGCTTTCTAATACAATCTTACTTATAAAAAATTAAAATAAAATTGTCATCTTAAATCTTAGCAAGATATATGATATTATGATGCAAGTGCTGCATAATATTCTTTTTAGATTATTAAAAGTGGATTATTTGATTAGTTTTTTTTTTTTTAATCTCTGCAAGAACTTGTCTGTCATTTCTTAATATCGGGATGGATAAAATTAGATAGCTAACTAGAAATTTTACCTCATTCATTTTCATATGGCAATTAAAAAATGGCGATCTTTTTAAATTAAAAAATCAGTTATGGTTTTCTAAATTTCGTTTGTTCATTCAATCCTACTTAGTAGTGGAAAAGTATGATATTTATATTATATAAACAACAGGAAAGAAAATGGCTTCAATTATTATTATTATTATTTCATAAGTTCAGTAAAACACAATTGAGGTGAGAAAGGGTTTCACTCAACTCCCTCCTTTTTTTTTCTTCCCGGAAATTCACTCAACTCAGAAAATGGCTTCAATTATGTAGCTGTGTTTGATGATGCTGGTTTTCCTCCTTTCCCAAGTTGGAGTTTGTCAAACTGATAATTGTTGGGTTATATGGTAAAACAATTATAATTGTTCTAAATATAATACTACGTGAGTGCCAAAACAATTTAAATGGGTCCCATCATTAAAGTGTTATATCCTTGTATAATTCTTATACTTTAAATTTAGTTGCACTTATGTGTGTCAACTACATTTTTCTGACTTGCAGCACTTTTTATAAGGTCTTGTGATTTATTAGTCTTGGTGTGAATTGCAACCCTTTTAAAAGTGAACTTTTTTTTCTAGAAGTAAATTTAAGTAATGACCACCAAAAGGCGTTGTGACCCAAGTACACAGGAAGCATTCAAGAGAACAACACAAACAAACACGATAGCTTGCCTTAGAGTCCAGATCTGTTACAAAGTGTGTAAAAGAAATAGAAGAAAGCACAATCCTTCTTTTTCAGTGCATGAAAAGAAGTTCAAGAAACATAATCCTTCTTTGAGGCCCATATACAAATGAACTAAGCATTGCTTGTTTCAATTTGTGGACGGGAAGTTCCTCCCCTTTAAATTTGTGCCTGTTCTGCTCCTAAACACACCACCAAAAACAGAGGAGCCCCATTCATCATATATTATTAGCTTTTTTTTTACCCTTTTGAAGTGGAATTATGGAATTTTTTTTGTAGACTTGTACGTAGTTAAGATCATGGAATTTAAGAAACTGTAAAATTTTGAGGTTGCAATGTCTTTATGTTTGTCTTTGATGTGAATTTCAATCCAGCTGGAAATGGAATTTCCTAATGGTTTTTTCTTGGAATTGTTGATCTGTGGTAAAAATTAATTTAGTGTGGGCCCAAGCTTGTGACTCTTGGAGGGTTACTCCTTTGTGCGTATGGTGGTGTCAATAGCTTGAAAGAAATAGGAGATCCTTTGAAGGAAAAGAAAATCATATAGGATCATTGAAGTTCTCCATTCTTATCACTTTTTTTTTTTTGGGTTCTAGGGAGAAATTGTAAATCCCTGGATGAACTTGTAGAGTTTTTTGATTTGTTGAGGGTTTAGAGGTTCTATTTGGCTTTTTGTCTATGTTCCCCTTTTGAACGCTTTTAATGAATTCTGACTTATCGAAAAAAAAAAAAAAAATCAGTTTAAGAACTTTAATTTAATGGCAACTCTATGTTTTAGAGGACATTGTGGACTTTTTGGGTTCTTTGAGTTCATAGATTCTTTTTGTGTATATCTCGGGGCGCGTTCTCCTTTTGAACGCTTTCTAATACATTTTACTTATCAAAAAAAAAAAAAAAACAAATTATGAAAGAAACATATTCAAATATGCTTGAAGTTCACAAAAGAAAAGGGAAAAGAAATGAAAAGAAGTATCTAAAGTAGAAAATTGGAACTTCACAATGGTGATATTCTTGTGTGGCTGTGCCATTCATACGGATTTTTTGACGTATAATGACTTTGGAGACATCATTCACACGGAAGAGCATTACGTGTTGTTTACTTCCCCTCCGTGGAGTATTGTGCAGGGTCTAAACAAAGTTGCAAACAGAGCAATTTGTTCAATTTGCAAGCCACATATGTTCAAATCGGCTTTAGAACTTATTTTTGACTTTTGACCTTTATTAATTTGGTTGCTTCTCTCAACTATCGAGTCATAAACTTGTACAGACAAATGTGCAACTGAAAGCTAGTTAAAACAGAAGTTTTCTGGTGTACATTAGAATATGATTTATTTCCCATGTTAATTAGTAGGAAGCAAAACTATATCTATGATTGGAGAAATCGGAGCAGTCAAGAGCTGCCTTGAGATGATTGATTCCGTAACTCTACTTGGTTAGTTTAAGATAGTTCACATAGCTTAGTAATTAAGGATTTTTTTTTTTTTTTTTTTTTTTTCTTCTATTTAATTTTTAAGTTTATTACTATCTTTAATGATATTATGTCACTTCTACTTATTATCATAAAATATTAGGGGCAAAGAGGTTTATCCAGATCCACTTAGTTGTTTAGGAAGTCACATGCAGTACACATGACAACTAAACTGTCTTCGTGACATCACTCACATGAGACTTAAGATTGTTATATACGATGATGACACACAAGTTAAGAAACCATTCTCTAGGATCTGAATTTCTTCAGTAATTTATTATATATACCTTTTCTTACGTCATTGTGGGGTGGTTGGTTATTTTGTAAGAACATCTTATGGTGAGTACCACCTCCGTTCTTTCTCGCATCTTTTACTCTCTGGCTCTCCTACATCTCTCTCCTTTCATCATCATCATCATCTTCTTAACAAAATATCAGTGTATATTTTCTGTATGTTAACTGCTTAATAAATTTCTTACAAGAGCATAACTACTACTATTTATCTTTGCTGTCTTAGATTTACAGGGTCATTGTTTTCATGTTTTGGCATTTGGGACTAAATTGACGCATACTGTCCTGCACTTTGAAATCACATATTTTGGTTATTTTGCATTATCCAAGGCTCTTCATTATGTTAATTCTCGTTTCACTTTGTTCTCACATCATTCCTAGGTGTTTGCTATTTTCAGATTCTGCCAAGTAGTTCGCTTTGCTGTTTAAGTAGTTTTCATGTTCTAGTTGCTGGTCTTTGTTTACCTCTGAATGGTTGTCTAGAGTGTCTTAACTTAGTCAATACATCAGGGGAGTCCGGGCAAGGTACCTTTCTTTGTTTATAACAGGCAATTGACCAAATCCATGCTCAACTTGAGCAACTCACCCTCATAGTCAGTGTGTTTCTAGTGAATTCACATCCATAAAATAAAACTCAAGATGATAGGAGACTTAAAGGGAATGTTTAAGACATCATGACAAGATTGACTCTGGAGAAGTTGCTTCAATAGATTGTATAAAGGTTGTTGGAGATTACAATCCTCCTAAAGCTGGATCAAAGCACATTAAGATCTTCTTCTTCCTCCATATTCTTCTTCTCTTCTCTCTCTTCCCTCTCTTCTCCGTTGTCCAACATCAATTAATGTTAGAACACTCTTGGTCCGCCATCAATTTGGCTTATAGTATTTACGTCCTACATCAGTTGGTATGAGAGCGTTTATGTCCTACATCACCAAGCCTGGCTGAGGAGGCCAATTTTTTAATTTTTTAATTTTTTTTTTCTATTTTTACATAAATATTTATATTTTCTGTTGAGTGAAATACAATAGACATGGGTTGGGGAACTTTCTGTGAGAAGAAAAACCTACTCCTTTCTCACGTTAATATCTTATATATATATATACACACACAAAAGTACAGAAGTAATGAAAGACTATAATACCCGTGGGTAAACTAATTTCAAATGTGTCCTAATATAAATATTCTAACATTTCCAAGTTATAATTTATATAACAATAGATATTAGTAATGAAGTTGTAAAGTCCATATATAATTTTGACATGTATGTATAATTATATAAGTTAGATATGTCATGCCCCCTGAGTTGAGATAAGTGCAACTTGACCTTTCACTTAACAAGTGCATGATTGGATACAACCATACCATTCCATTTAAAACAAAATTCAACTCAATAACAATTGGCATCAACCTGCTGTATCAAAATTTCCAAACATATCTGTTACAACATTTATATGTAGATATATATATTTATGTTGGGGTCAGTTTGTAATTGTATATAGAGTTTGTGGCCATTATGCAAATAGGCCTTTCTTGTCTTTGTATCTAACCCTTTTATGTTTAGGGTTAATAATATGAAACTGAGGCTGCCCCTCCACCATTTCTTTGCTCTGCTCCATCTGCTCTCTCCTCTCTCTCTTTCATCACACATTAAACCTTTCACAATATCTATGTATGTAATATCAATCTCAAGACCAAGACAATTTAAAATAAAACAACTGATATCCATAAATAAATAAAATTCATGTTTAAAAAATTCAACTTAAGAATCCTGACTGCATAATGTTTCTCTGAAGTAAAATAAAAGAATATCAAACCAAACAAGAAACATAAATTCTACTATAAGCCACCACAACAGGTCATTAGCCATCCAATATTTCAAGTACGTGCATTGTATGGAAGAAAAATTGGGTGAGCTTGGAAAGTCCAATAAACAACAGTCAAACTAATTGTCAATAATGACCATAAATCTATAATTATTACAGTTATATCAATTATTATTACGTCAACATAATTAAACAATTCCAATGGTTTATAAGGTCATGACTCTGTAATTCTAATCCTCTTATCACTATGGATGAACTTAAGCCACTCAACTATCCAAACACAATCCTCAGCAGTCATACTCATAAACCAACGTCGCCTTCAATGAGAGATCCCATCTGTCTGATGCTACGAAACAAGCAACACAACTAACCGGCACCCTACCTTCCTCATTGCTGAGAGACTACATAACTCTCCATGCAAGTGTAGTGGAGATACGTAACTTCACCCATGCACATACCTCAGCAATAGAGCAGATACATGATCTAATCCGGAGTATTGTCCCCAAGGGATGTGTATCTAATACTACTATTTGAGCATGCGCGGCTTGAATAATTGGTGCGCCAAAGCAAATTTGGACTAGCACATAGCATGTCCACACTACACGTCTCCATCATTACCAAAACCATCAACCAGCATCAATCACCTCACAACATTCATACATATGTGCTATATGTGAGCTATGCACACAAACCGAAGCAAGGAGATAACTATATCAAAAAACTTTTAATTCCACCCAATTTAGCTACCTATTAAGGCCAAACTACTTAAAACTAATTTGTCCTCTTGGTTTTTATTTGTAAAATGGTACTTTTCTAACTAATTTCATGATTAATCAGTCTAAGACCATCTAAACTCAATCTCTATGCCTAATTTGAGTTTATTAGATGTATTTTAATTAGTTATATAATTAATTTTTTCCTTGGTTATAATATATTTTTCCATAATTTATATCAATTTAAATTCAAATTAAATATATATTTTTATTTCGAATGGAACTGGGAGTGAGCTTAAAATATTGAGCTGAGAGGGTGGACCAAAATGAGCCTTAAGACTCTTAATGAAGGGCCCGGGTGGGCCCCACATGTGCCAAGCCTGCAACTGGTCAAGCGTTGCCTAGAGGAAATCACCTTCTTTCTTCTTTGCTTTTCCAGAAACTCACCGCCAGTGGGTTTCTTTCCCAAACTAGCATATTCCCAGGTTAATCGGACTACTAAACAACCTAAAATCCAAATCCAAACATAGGGCTTTGTTTGCCCATCAATAAAAATTCGCAATTCTATGCCTTAACTTGGTTGAACCAAATCATGTCAATATTTAGGTTTCATTCATTCCAACACGAACTAAAAAAATTCAAAGCAATTGAACAATGTACAAGTACTCTGTAAGACAGTAAATATAAATCAGCTAATACAACCATTAATTCCATGTATTTCTTTAAGATTCAAGGATTCAACCCTGGTTAATGACCCTTTTATTCTGATTTCAACTAAAAGTACATGGTACATTTTGCAATTGTTGTTTGTTCAATGACTTCCACTAGCGACTTCATTCAATTTCTTACATATTTCATCTTTCTCTCATTTAATTTTATATTTGCAGTTGTGCTTGATCTATGTAGAAATGTAGAATAAGTTGCCTTAAGTTCACTGATTGGAACATTTGCCTTTGCACTTCAGGGAAAGAGATACTGACAAAGATGGGAAGGTTAACTTCAAAGAATTTTTTCATGGGCTCTTTGACTTTGTAAGGAACTATGATGAAGAGGCTCATAATTCTACACACGAATCTGATGATTCAATGGAAGCACCAGCTAGAAAGTTGTTTGCGCAGCTTGACAAAGATGGTGATGGGTACTTATCAAGATATCTTCTTTTTTTCGATTGGGGACATGCTTCTTATTCATTTCCCTTTTTCATCAGATGATTTGAGTTTTTTGATGATTTTATTGCTTACCTGAAATCGTATTCCTCTGCATAGATACATTTCACACACAGAACTGCTGCCTATCATTGGAAAGCTTCATCCATCAGAACATTACTATGCGAAACAGCAGGCAGAATACATCATAACGCAGGTATTCATTTGACAGAAAGAGGGCTATTTGTTTTGGGATGATTGATTATGGAGTTTAAATATGTTAACATAAGGATGGAACTTCTATAATAAGTATCAAATTCTTGCATATGGCTTCCTCTGCCATCGCAGTGGGAAAATATTCTTTTTGCTCTTTGATTGACTTTGTCTAATTCCATATCATGACTAACATAGTTGAAGCATACGATTGAGGACAAATAATACTCGTAAAAAACTGCCTTTAGGGACTCTTCAAACAAGCAGTTGAAGTATCTGTCATGCTGAAATTCTCTTATTTCGCTAGTGTAGCTTGATTGGCTAATTAGATTAACTATATTTATCCATTCCAGTATAATGTCAGATCTGTGAATAGATTTTTGACAATGGGAGGACAGAAGAGTAATTGCTTAAACTGAATCAAAATGTTATGGTAGAAATATAAGAAGAAGAAAAATGAGAGAATTGTGTAAAAGCTTGAATGAGATAATCACTCATTCATAGCTCTAGTATTTACAGATAAAAAGAGCACATGCTCATATTACAAGAAATGAAACTAAATCAAATCTAAATCAAATCACATCATATTCTATGGCATATTCTATAGCATAATCAAATCTCTGCTAATACGGTAAGTCATTCCATAAATCGTGACTATCATATCTGCTAACACTCCCCCTCAAGTTGGTGCATGGATATCTGAAACGCCCAACTTGGACAATTCATTCTCAACACAATCTTGCCGACACCCTTTGTAAGAATGTCTGTGCTGAGAGTTTGTGACAGATGGGGTGCAAATCTGACTAGCGATGATTTTCTCTCAAATTAAGTGCCAATCAACAAATCAAAAATGTCTCCTCAGACCATAAACAATTAACAATGTCTCCTCAGACCGTAAATAACCAATTATGATTCATGTCTCCTAAGACCTTAAACAACCAACAATGTCTCAAACCATTTCCCTTCATACATATGTTTGAAACATGTAGATGGAAGAAACAACAATGTATCCTCAGACCATTCCGCTGCATACATATGTTTAAACAATGAAGATGAAAGAATCAACAATGTCTCCTCAGACTATAAAAAGAAACAACTATGTCTCCTCAGACTATGTTTGAATAGGTGGTGCCAAACTCGCAACTCCGTCATTGAGGTCGGACCACCCTTCCTACCCGACACCTCCCGGATGGGCGATGTCACCTTAGACCATTCCCGAATGGGTGGTGCCGAACTCGTAATGCCCTCATTGCAGTCGGACTATTTTGGCTCTGATACCAAGTAGAAATATAAAAAGAAGAAAAATTAGAGAATTGTGTAAATGCTTGAATGAGATAATCACTCATTTACATCTCTAGTATTTATAGATAAAAAGAGCACATGCTCATATTACAAGAAAGGAAATTAAATCAAATCACATAATATTCTGTGCAATAGAATCTCTGCCAATACGGTAAGTCATTCCATAAATCGTGGCTATTATATCTGCTAACAGTTATCATGATCCTAGCTGTGCTTATTAACATTGGTTACACCATAATGTTATTTTGATTGGAATAAGTCTGCTAAAGGCATGCTTGAGAAAGGAGAAAGAAAAAGAGAAAAGACCACATGTAAACGTGAAGAGTCAATGCGAGGAGAGCCCTTAAAGTGTGAAAAGTTGAAATAAGAGAACACATCTTTAAAAAGCAGTAAAGAAAGAGAAATTCGCCCTCTTGCGCTAGGTTTTGACTTAAAAAAAGTGTGATGAGTGAGTGGGGTTTTGACATCTAGTTGTATATTCTCTTCCTTGATACATAATAGTGAAATTTCTCTCCATGGAGGTAGCCCTAGAGTTGAGTGAACCGTGTAAAATATTCTGTTGTGTGTGGCTGTGTATGATTGTTATCTCCATATATGCTTGTGTGATGATAATGCTTCCGCTATGTGTGATGAAGGAGGGATTTAACTTTCAACAATAGCCGACCGTTGAGTGGGTTGGAGGGAGTTAATATCCCTAAAAACTGGTGTTAGAGCCGATGGTGGGTCAGAGCCTATGGTTTGGTCCTGAAGATTAGAGCTGAAGGTTAATATGAAGTTTGTTAGAGCAAAGGTTGATCATGAGGTGTTATGGAGATTCAATCAGAGTTGATGATGACACGAAGATGGTGAAGATAAGGAAGAAGGTTATAGTGTGAAGCCCATGAGGAACAAGTCTTGGGATAAGCCGGAGGATGCTCGTTTTAAAGATGGGGCGATGGTGATGGTATGAAGAAGAGATGTTTGTTGCTTTGAGCCAGAAAAACAATTGATGAGCATGAGTTGATTGGTTGGTGGGTTGCCATGCATGAGCAATTATGTACCAATGGGATGGGAAGGAAAGAAGATGGAGGAAGGAGAGTTTTTTTTGTTCAAGGTGGAGATATCTTAAGTCAAGGTGGAGCTATGGAGGAGCGCATGAAGACTAATTTTGAGCCTAGGTGGAGACTGTTGGGTTTTGTGACTCGAATTCGGTGTGTATGTAGTGTTTTGGAGAAGATGGACCAGTCCAACGGGGGAAGATTGAAGATAAGGAGTTGTTCTATTTGGACCAGTTTAACTAGGGTGAAGATTGAAGGGATTGCTTATTTGGACCAGTCCAACATGCTTGATATGTGTGGGAATAAGTTTCCTATTACTTTTTGGAAGCTTGCAAATTTGTGGATAAAGGGTGAAGATTTGGGAAGGAAGTTGTGGCGTATTAGGCTGCTATTTAAGAGTACGGTAACTCGTTGTAGACAAGTTGTGGAATTCTTGTCCTACAAGGAATTTAGTGAAGACTCTTATCAATAGAGACGAGTGTGAGATAGAGAGGGGGGGACGGAAATTGGGGTGGGGGGGTTCCCTTAGTATAAATATGTAGCCGAAGAGTGTGATGAGTGAGAGTGAGTAAGGTTTTGACATCTAGTTACATAATCTCTTCCTTGATACATCATACTGGAATCTCTCTTTCCGTGGATGTAGCTTTAGAGTTCGATGAACCATGTAAAATTTGTGTTGTGCGGATATGTGTGATTGTTATCTTCATATATGCTTGTCTTATGATGATGCTTTTGTTGTGTGTGATGAAGGATAGATTTAACTTTTAACAAAAGACCGTTGAGTGGATTGGAGGGAGTTAATATCCCCAACAACGGCCTTTTTCGTCTTCAAGAGCTTCATTATGCAGTCACTGCCTCTTTTTTATTTTTTATTTTTTATTTTTTGGGTTCTGTTTTTGATTTTGTTTTGGGTCAAGTTGGCCAACCGGAAATAAATCACTGTTCCTCTCTCTCTTTTTTTTTTTTTTCCTGTGGGTAACCAGCAATAATTCAATTTGACTTGGTACAAGAAGTAAAAAGCCATTTAAAAAGAAAAACTTCAATGAGGCGTGCCTTTGACGCGCCTCGAGCTCATTGCCTCTGACCTAAAGGCGCGCGCCTCATCAAAGGGGCCTCGCCTAAGTACCCTCCAGGCACTATGGCTGTGCCTCTAGCATGCACCTCTGACGCCCTTGAGAACTATGATCATGTGATGAGTAGCACCAGTGTCCAGGTACCAATTTGGGTCATTAGCAGTAGTTGACTGATAATTCTAATACGATGGTTGAAAGGACTGTGGTTAAACGTTTTGCTGATAACTCTACATAGGGAATGGTAACAAAGGAGATGGCTGAATCAATTGAATACCAGCGAAGGCAGTATTCAGAGAATCAGCAGTCGGACGAGCACACCAACGAGGACACTGGAGGGCAACATGTCGAGTACCATTGTACAAGTAACAAAGAGAATCAGAAAAGCCAGTAGAACCCTGAGCCGAGCCACGATTGTTGTTGTTGCAACTCCGGTTGCGATTCCGATTCCGGCAGTTGCCACCTGTATTACCAAAATTATTACCCTCTCTAAAAACTCAAGGTGTAGGAGAAATCCCAATAGGAACATAATCCTGTTGAGCCAGAAGTGCAGATTGAGGAGGCGGAGTAGGAGCAGAAGTCTGAGCCTCAAAGGATGGTAGCTGAGCCCGAAGGTCTTGAAATGAAGGCAACGGCAGAAAATGCAGTATAACTGTTATAATCATCTCAGAACCTGGACCCAAACCCGAAGAACACAAGTGACTAAATTATCCTTGGATATTGGTTGACGGTTGACCAATAGAAGCCAAAGATCAGCCGGGGACTTGGCATATATAAGAGATAGTCAAAGATGGAGCGGTTCTCCTTGGTGAGAGACATGAGACGGATTCAAATCGTAGAGGCATGAGCAACAAATTGTTGAGAGAAATGTCACTCAAGGCTGGTCCAACATCTCATGAAGTGTGGAGGCCAACAACCCATTCCCAAAAATAGTCTCAGAGAAGGTGGCATTGAGAAGACTAAGGAATATCTGATGAGTGCAAAGACAAGTCAATTAATCTGGGTTTGGTACTCCAGGTTGGCCAACAATTGTCTTGAGGAATTTTGAGGCCGCGGGATAGAAGCCAATCAACAAAGCGACAAAAAGTATGGCCAACCAGATATGGCTTGACCTGAGAGCACTAAAGGAGAGAGTTTGAGTCAGTCAACTTCAGTTACCAAATTGGTGATGTTAGAGACTGAATGAGGAACACCACACTACAGAGATTATTGGTGTAGATGTAGCATAGTTCGTAGAGCCAGGGTTGGTAGAAGAGGAAGACATGGAGTAACAACAATAAAGCCAGACAACCATCGAACAAGGAGTACCTCAATACAGAAGGACATGTTGGAGGGATCTCATGGAGGAGGCGGAGCCTCTACTCAATAAAATAAAATAAAATAAATTCAACTTAGTTGTATTCATCCCAATAGGGTATTTATATGTGTGTTACAAAAAGGGATGTAACAAAAGATATGCAAATATACAAGCTAATATCAATCCTAAATTTAAGGGGCTGTCTAACATATAGAACACCATTTAGATTAGCCGTACTTTATGGAACAACATATTGGGCAACTAGGAAACAATATGTGCATAAAGTGAGTAGCGAAAA